CCCGTAACACTGGACACAACATTCAATGGGATGATGCCCATATCACTGAGTTTGAAACGCACTTCTGGTCAAGAATGGTAGAAGAAGCATCTGCATAAAAAGGATGAATCCTTCACTGAATAGGGATTCTTGCTATACACTTTTACCTTTGTGTAAATAATAAAAGGTCCACGGGCGTGGTTGTTAGAAGCTTAAACTACATAAAACTCTTTCCAATTTTGCAGGGGGAGAGCCTTTGTCGGGAGTCTTTAATAATAAAAGGGATAAATCCTTCACTGAATAGGGATTCTTGCTATATGTTACCTTTCTTCGCTCCAGTGATCTCGAGGCAGCAGACAGCAGACAGAAAAAAATTGCCGGGAGTCTTGCTCTCTTAAAGACAATTTCATATAACTTCTTTTTTCGTATTGTTGTACTTTCGTCCGCAGACTACTTAAGCACATGTCGAGCCAACTCAGTCGGAAATGTAATATGTAGGCCTAAGTGTAAAGTTAAGTTTCATGTTCTTCCTTTTTTCTTTCTTTCTTTCTTTCTCTCCCTCTCTCTGTCTCTCTCCTTTTCCTCTATCTTCTTTAAAAATAAAAAATAAATCTTTCTTTTCTTCTCATTTTTCTGTGTGTGACATGCGTTACGCGTACGTCTATCAATGTCTTAATATGGTAGATTTACATTTTTTTGTTTCCCTTTGTAGGTGCACCTTATATTCCAGAAAGTGCCCTGTTTTGATGGTGCCCCCCCCCCCCCATGTATTGATCTCGATAAAAAATAACTTTCTCATTAATTCTATTTCCAATATATCTAATACTTGCACTAATCTCCAATTTAAAAAATCGTCTACTTTCTCTAAAGACAACATTATATAAAGGATTCATTTGTAGCGGCTCTTACATTCGCCCTACTTACATTCGCCCTACTTTCACCGTACATTCATGTCTCCTGTATTTTTCCATCACGGTACTTATTTATATTCATTATTCGGACCACGTGTGTTTTTCCTTCCAATCGAGCATCGTGGTTCCGCGCATCGTTCCCCCGCGTATTTTCAACTCCACGAGGTTTTTCTCCACTCCCGCTTTCACCTTGGTCGAGTCAAGACGTCTCCGCAATTTCCTCTCCAGGCTCTATTCTTCTCCAGGCTCTATTCTTCTGTGCCTTTCGTCTTTTCTACAGCACGTCAACTCTTTCTCTGCCATGTTCATCGGGCTGCAGTCTCCCAGTGGAACGTTATAGTCAGGACCGACATGGCGCCTGACTCTCCGCTGGGAGCTGCCAGTTTCTTCGTTCCGGTAGCTCTTTCCACTCACGAGCTCATCATTTCACCGCAGCTCATCTAAACATTTCTTCATCAAAGTCCGGCGCATCAAACGAGCAACTATTACTACTCAGCACCAGTGCCGGCTTTGCATGTCTACGTTTCTACTCTTCGCCTCCGACATCGAACGACCCACTGTTCCGTCGTCGAGCGCCACATCTCGTCTCTTCTCTTCTCGCCTGAGAGCTTCTTCACTATCTTCATCACGGACGTCAGCGTCGAGATTCTTCACGGCTCTTCAGCCACGACAATGAAGCTGCATCTCCGCCTTCAAGCCTCCGCACATCATCGCGTGAGCCCCTTCCTTCGTTTTCATCTCTCTTCATCTTCATTGGACTTTCGACGCCATTTCTATTCTGTCGTAAGCTTTCATTCATTATGTACATCGCATTTATTCATGTTCATTCTCATCCTTAATCATTATGTAATCTTCGTGCAATATTCACATTTTCAAGTCTGCTACTTTTGCTTGACTGCACTTTGCAAGTGCATTGTCAGCTCTGTTCAGTACCCAATAAATTAACGAAAAGGGAATACTTTCTTTCTTGTATTTTATTGCCAGTGCAACCTTGCTTCCTCGTAGCTAAAATAAAAATAAGAGTTATGTTGTGTGACGAGTGAACACGTTTTCAAATATCCATTCACAATACCTCACACTCATATCTCTAAACATTAATGCAAGGCTATCACGCGAGTAATCTCTTAATTTCTAACTTCCTGCTTTCCTCATCTCCCAGTCTCCCTTGCTTCAATATTCCTCGTTACTTCCTTCCAATTGAACTCCAACTTAATTGATGTTATAGACTGTATCTATTCTTCAACTACAGGTAGATGCAAATGTTACTCAAAATCCATTATATAAATCACACTCAGGATACAGCCAATCGACGAGAACTGCTTCAATCTATATTTTACATGTATCATTAATATATGGTTTTACAATGGCTATGGTGATGAGTTGTCTAGGTAACATGTTGATGTGTTTGTTAAAATGTATTACCATGGTGCACCTTCTTGGTTACAAAAAAAATATGTGTATGTATTAACGTAAGTTCGTGCCTTTACATATCACAGTAAAAATCAATGTTTTATATTTGATGCAGAATAATATTAATATTTGGAGATTAGAAACTCAAACAGTTTCCATAACCGTTCAAGTGTTTCAAGAAAAAGTTAAGCAAACTTTCTCCTGGATGTAAATTGGAATTTTAAGCGGTTTCATTGGAATTAATCGAGACATTCCCCTCGCTAGCGTGTAAATAAAAAATACGCCGGCCGGCCATACGTAAATGGCAGTGACGGTAACGACGAATTAGGAGGAAGGGATGCATACGTGAACTACAAGCGTATTGGGGATGATCATACTATCATTTTAGAGTGTGCAATCTGGGTCGGAATCCAGCATAATATATTTATAAAAAAAGAGGTTCACATAAAAGCACTCATGATAAAGCCGCGCCCGGCCCCTACAACATCATTTTGGATTTTCAGATGATGGGGCGGGTGGCAGGGGTAGGGGGCAAAGTTCGCCCCACTCTTCAAGTACCCCCCCCCCCAAAGGGCCACTTTTACTTTGTAAAGAAGTGCCCCTTCCCCTTTTTAACTCGGATAAGCGCACATTTCATCAACACATGTGCCCCCTTTCCTATCTGATAAGGGCTATTTAGAAAAATGAGGCCCTTCATTAATAAAAAGTGTCCCTTTTCATCTCTGGTAAACGACCATTTTCATATATGAGAAGTTAATTCTTTTCACTTCAGTGCGCTCTTCACCTCCGATAATTGCCCCTATTCATATCTGAGAGATGCTCATTTTACTTTGAAAAGTACCCCTTCCCCTCCTGATAAGTACTCTTTTCATCTATGATGGGTGCCCATTTTTACCTTTGCTAACTGCCCTTTAATTTTGAATCGTGCCCCTTTTCCTTTCTATTAAGGGACCTATCCCCTTTTCATAAATGCCCCATTTTACCTCTGATAAATCAATTTCTGATGGATGCCCCATTTTACCTCTGATAAATCAATTTCTGATGGATGCCCCTTTTCCGTCGACAAATGCCCATTTCCCATACTCATAAGTGCCCTATCTCATTTCTGGTGAGTGCCTCCTTTCAGATGTAAGAAGTGCCCAGTTTGAACCTTTGATAATTACTCTTTGTACCTTGACACATGCTCCTTTGCTTTTCTAATAAGTGTCTTTATCCCTTTCGATATGTGTCCCCTTAACCTCTCATCATCAGGCACGTAGGCACGGGGGGGGGGGGGGGGCGGGCACGTGCCCCCTTACCTGCTCATCATTAGTCTTGCACCTAATTTAAAGCGACTAAGAGTAATTTCCCCTAAAGCTCGCTCGCTCGCTCGCATTTATAGATGATACAATTATATGTCACTTTAAAACAAATGTTTTTTCAGTCTTCCGTGATGCTTATAACCCCATCATGATTTGGTTTTTTCCTCTTTATAAGATGTAATTTTTCACTCTGCGACCTCACAGATCCTACATTTTTTTCTCGCTCGCTTTGCTCGCTCGCAAATGAATATTCAGACAATCACACTCAGCCGAAAGTGTGATGCTTAAGCAATAACTTGTATGATATATAAAGAAAAACAAATATGAAATCGTCCCTGATAATGGGATCACAATGAAAGGGTATATACCAATGTCTAAAATAATGTATATTTTCGCTTTGTAGGTGCCCTTTTTTGTTGGTGCTTTCCACTTTGGAAATAGCTCCGCCGCCCCTGCTTACGCATTAGCGCCAGCGTTAATTTCACGCTTGCGCGCACAGGGTGTGTGTGTGTGTGTGTGTGTGTGTGGGGGGGGGTTCCTCTCTAGCTCTGAAGCTGATTTTTTTTAAACCTAGATTCGTACGATTCGGTTAATACTTTTAGAGGGAGTCTGAGGGGTGATGTGCCCCCCTCTGAAGCTGACATTTTTTTGGATTTTTGAAACTGGATTCGTGCGTTTTGGTTAACAATTTTTTGGGGAGTCTGATTTGATTTCAAAACACCTGCAGTTAATGCGGGATGGTGTTGCAGCTTCTCTTTCCCCGAAAACTTAAAAATTACTAATATACATTTGTTATATCTTATCTCGTATATTTTGGTGACAATTAACACTTTTCACAACATACTTAAGCTCAAATTTCCGCTCACTCGCTTCGCTCACTCGCCAAATTATTAAACCAGGAAATAGATATTGGGGCAAGAGGCTCCAGCCCCCACTGATGGAAATGTCAAAAAAATTGCGCGCGAGCATAACTTGAAAACGGGAAATGTTGATATCGGACAAGAGATGTGACGTGAGCATGTCCCCTTTCCAAAATAATTGTGCCCGTGTGTAGGTACCAGTACACTATTAAAGTACAGTGCTTCTAATATGACCTTGTCAGTATTGGTAAGTTTAAATAACGGTCTGCGCGAATTTCGAATTTCCGGCCCCCCCCCCCCCCCCCTATTGGAAAATCCTGGATCCGCGCCTGTAATGGTGATGCAAAATATGCAAATCATGATTCGTGATCACGATCCATGCTTCAACAAACGACTTGTCATATTATGCAACAGTAAAAGATTGTTGTTGTTGTGACACCAAATATGACATGACAGTCAGTCTAATGATGATGCAAAATATGCAAATCACAATTCGTGAACATGATCCATGCATCAACAAACGGCTTGTGCGTGCGTGCGTGCAGGATGTTGTCAAGTGACCTTTTTTCTTCTCCCTATGGATCGCGTGCTCACTACCATGATATACCAGCTAGAGCTAGATACAGCTTCAAAGCTCAACATGAGTGCGTGTGACATTCCATCATACATAGGTGAGGACAGAGGGAGGTCTAGCGGTGACATTTGGTGAGGACAACTCATCTGGTACCATCTCGGTTGTGAAACTAGAAGCAGACAAGTCTGTAATGAGAGCATGATGCAGTATAGAATCGTGGAAGAGGTTAGATATTCAGCTGAACATGTCATGTAGGTTCGTATAATTATTATAAGAGAATTGGCCAGTTCTAAAATCGTAAAAGTTATTATGCTATCTCTCCATGTCAAAGAACCGAAGAGTGACAGCAGTTTTGAAGTGGAAGATTCAACAGTTTTAAACGCTAGATTCAACCTTTATGATAATGAATCCAGTGGCGTAGTGGATTGTGGAACACATGGTTCACAGTTCGAATCCCGCTGCGGAGCTAATCTCCTTTGGCAATACGTAGATGTACATTTGCCTCTCTCCACCCAGAGTAAATGGATGGTAGGAATTTACAACTTGGATGCTTCGAGTCATCTAGGCCAAAGCCACGGTATAAGACTTTGTAGGCGCCTTGAACATCCTTTAGAGTGGATATGTGCACACTATTTAGTCTGTGTCGATCGGCAGTCGTGTCAAACGAGCGACTGTGGATATTGGCATGTATGGCAAATAAAAGGTTGAAACCACTCACCTGGCAAGTAAAATAGCGCAGGCGTCAGTGATGCATCATAATTATTGATGGGAAGAATTTTTGTTGTTGTTGTTTTGAGTTTTGTTGTTGTTTTGTGTTTTGTTGTTGTTTTTTTGTTTTGTTGTTGTTTTTTGTTTTGTTTCGTTTTGTTTTAAAGGTACTATGTCCCATTTACAGGCCCCAAAAATGAAAAAGTTAAATTCCAACTGCATTTGAAAGATAATACTGATTTAGAACTTCCCTAAAAAAACTTGGGGTTGAAAATGTCTTCGAGTGGGAAAATAACGACTATTAGTTGTCAAATCGACTTTAGGGCTATAGAGCCCAAAAGTAATAGTCTTGATTTTCAGACAATTGTACCGAATGGTCATACGTTTTATGCTGCGCAAAGATTCAATCAGTTTAATCTTGGCCATCACAAGAAGTGGGTTATTGATGTAGACAAATGCTCATGTACCCTTTACAACCTTTTTCATGTATGTTATTACCAAAGAAGAAAAAAGCCAGTCAGTCACTCAATAGTGTCTGACACTGAAGTCCAGCAAGTAAACGGGTTTCCTTGCATAATTTGAATATGAGGACACTGCTAACGTTTAAATTTCACAGATAGGACATACATGACATATTCATAATTCCTGCAAAGTTCTACAGAATTTGAGGTTGGCTGCAAAAGGGACATAGTACCTTTAAGATATAGGAAATAATGTGTGTTTCCCTCATCAAGACAGCTATCTTGAAGGTTCTGAATTACTAAAACTTGAGACCATTCGGGAACTCCTCCTCCTCCTGGTCTCCCGATAGGGGCTCTAAGGCAGCCCCCTGGACCCTATCTAAGATAAACCTTGGTTCTGTAACACTCTCTTTAGGAGGGGAAGAGTGTACGTGAGTGCGTGCGTGCGTGCGTGTGAGTGTGTGTGTGACACAGAGATAGAGAATTGGTTACAACGAAATAAAGCAATTGAGGCAGTACAAATTTCAAGGCATAGATTATAGTTTTTATTGCTCAAGACGGCTAATTTGAGGGTTCTGAATTGCTAAAACTCGATAGTGTCGGAGTCTCCGCTTCAGGACTCCCGAAATGGCTTTGCCCCCTTCCCCATGTTATATTTGTTGGTTTTTGGTTCTGGATCCTCGCTCTTATGGGCTTCATAATCAACCTTTTACAGTCGCATCTAATCAGTCTATTTCACAAAACAATCGCATATAAACTAGAATTTAATTTAATATGTTCAAGAGAGCTGAATGCGAATACCATTGTACCGATTTTGTATCAATAGTCAAGACCTTCAGGACGCAGTTAGACGTCCTATCGAGCTTCTTCCTTTACTCATTAAGATCATCCTTCCCCTCGACGGGTCCGATTCACCTTGAATCATCTGAGGTTAATCATCGGAAGATAAAGTTGGGTAGAGGTCAAGCGATCTTTTATGAAAGAAACTATCCGGAAACCCATGTAGCTCAAAAAGTGAACTTAAAGGGCAAACCAATATCCCTTGTAACAAGTTCATTTGTTTGAACGCAGAAAAATAAGATACATGTAAACAAAATGGCGAAAATTGGGAATAGATCGGACCAAGAATAACCAAATTTAAATGTTTGAAATATGAGATCACTAAATTATATGCACATCTCAAATTAGCAGTTTGGCCACTGGATGGTGACGTAGACGCGGATAAACATAACTCTCCCGTTTGTCGTGTAAACAAAAATATATATTTTTTTTTTCTTCTCCTAAGTGACTTTTCCTTTTGGCACTACTTAAAATATATAATATAGATAGCATATTGATTATTTTAGCTTCTCTAAAGAGAATAGACACTCCTGAGTCATATATTTTTGAAAAATTGAAACTGTAGTTATTTTTGTGTTGGAACAAATGGAAAAGTTGTCCTACGCTAGCTACATCACATAGACATCACTGATTCAGCCAATTTGAAGTTATGATTAAAACTTTCAAAAAATCAAAAATTGATCATTTGTTGTCCGATTCATTCAAACTTTAACTAGTCTAGTTTTCTGGTGTTTCTGCTTTCCTCGAGAGTAGTTTGCTATCAAGGTAGGATTTCCCTTTAACTGAAAGAAGATGGCAGCCCGTCGGTCAGTCTATGCGCAACGAAGCTCACTGGTTAAACCATACGTAGCTCGTATCTCACATAATCCCGTAGCTCGTGAGTCACGAGATATAATCATAGTGATAACTAATTGATACTCCATTATTCTTGTTTTTTACATAATGAAAATGATATGCCACTCTTATATAGCTCATATCACATTACGATATAAAGTCTCTATGCACTTCCCAAGGACTTTGGATATTACAACAGCATTTAGTGTATTCAAGGAATAAATCATACCATGTACCCATTTACTACACTTAGGCAGGGGCGTCGCTAGACCTTGTTCAGTGGGGTGTGTAGAGCCGGGCCATCAATTACCGAAAAAATAGCCACCAATAAAGCGTTGGTCACAACCCACCGTGCGTGTTTTTAGTCCGTACGGTTTTTGGGGAGGCCACGGCCGCCACGTTTTTTCTGAAAACGTAGGGAGGGAGTGGCAAAGGCAGGGAGGGAGTACCAGTAACGTACGTCACACGCACGGTACGTGTAGGTACGTACAGTATAATGTTGCTGTTTTGAATTTATCTGTATGACGAGAAATGAAATTGTTTAGTCAAAATGATATTTCCATGTTTATCATGCATTGTTCAGCTGATAATTGTTTAGTCACAGATTACGTGTTCGCCTGGGTGAAGATAACCTTTTAGCATTGGTAAACTTTGTAGCGTTTGAGACTGTGTACTTCATTTTATTGAAATACCCTACAAAAAAATTGTGTAAACTGACTAGCTTCTGATACTCTACTCACAAAACATTTATGAAAAACAGTGATGAACAAGAAAGTAACGTTGATGATTAAATTAGTCATATTTCCCATTGAAAAACTCCACCATCTTTTTTTCAAGAACTGCCTTTTTTCGTTACGATCAACATTTAAACCTTTCAGCTAGAACATGATAACCATGGCGTGCAAGAAAGAGACTATACCACACAGTACTGTTTTGAATACCTCTTTTTTCTTCAGGTAAAAAATCTTTGCAGATGATGAGGACGATGATGATGCAAAAGATAAAGACATTTTAGCATATTTACAAGTACTGTATAATGTTTGAAATAACCATCGTATTCCATGGATGTATACCTGATGAGTCTTTTCCACAAAATCCTAAATGTGCGTTTGCAATACAGTATTGATGATAATTGATGATGATATGTTTGGTATGAATTATTATTTGATATTTTTAATTTATGTTTACCTCTTTTTTGTTTATTGTTGTAAAGAACTTATTGGCATGCTCCCAGTAGATTTTCATCATGTGTTTGATCTTGTTATTGAAAACAAGATCAAACACATCATCATAATCAAGTTCGAGTTCAAGTTCAAGTGAATCTACAGAGTGCAACCAAAAACTTCTTAACAACAATTGACATTTTTTTCAGGAAGCCTAACAATAAAAGCTGTTTTTGATTCCAAGAGTATCGTAGAGACAATGAACAAATAAGAATAATAATACAACGTCGTTAAGCGTGAGACCGTTCACTTCTTTCTCTCCCCGCCAAATAATCCGATCAAAAGAATCAACTGAGGGTAATCAACTGTTAAACGAATTTATTATGAGTCCTTGAAAAATGAATTAATACTGCTTGTCAAGTATTATTGAAGAGCAGCAAAGGCGAACGCGATTGTCGCTACGATTCAGAAGTCGTTGCTTGGATTGCTTTTCTCTCAAAATTACCGTGAGATATCAAGCTACATAAAAGTTAGATCTATGATCGACAAAAAAGATATTGTCTTGGAAACAGTCAGATACATTACAACTTAAATGAATAAAACATAATGCAAATGAATAAGACTAGAATGAATAGGACACAAGTTCATTTTTACCATTTAAATCATCCAGTACCAAATACCGAAGCAAAATTCGAGCCAGATGCATATAATGGTAAGCTTAAAAACAATGAGTCATTACAAATTGTAAATTGTCAAGCCTTTGAGTTAATCGTCTAGACGTATTGCAAAAGATAATTAGGATAATAAGGATCAGAATGATACCTCTACTACTAGGCCTATTTTTACATGTATTATACTACACTACTGCCATTGTTGAGTATCATGAAATTGTTTCACACAATAAAAATCCCATGTGTTTTATACGCGCCCGGCTACGAGCCGTCAAAATCAAAGCGTTCTATGTAATTTGTGTTTTCACGAAATGACGGTTGTGTTAAAAGTTCAAACAGAGGAATAAAAAAGCAGCTACAGAAAGAGGAAAATGTACTCTATCTCGTAGTTCGAGTTATTTTATCCGTACATCAATTAAACATAACGTTTTGCCGTATGTAGTGTCCACTTCGGAAATTCCATCCACGAGAGAAAAATTCCGTATGTTTTACGCGCGCGGCTACGAGCCGTCACTTCGTGAAAACAAAATTACAGCGCGTCCTTGAATTTCGTGTTTTCACGAAGTGACGGTTATGTTTACTGCTCATTTCCCCAAAAATATAAGAAATTATGGAAATAATTAAACATAGAACTAAACATTGAGATATGTTCTATCCAAGGATATAACATTTATTTGCCCTTGATACATTAAAAAGGTTGAGATTATAATTTGAAAGTTTGAAAGCGATTTATTCAAAACTAACTTTCTTTTAATTGCACGCTCATCTGTCACTTCGTGAAAATAGGGACGATATATATATATATATATACATGTATATATATATATATACACGGGGTGTGGTTACCCGACGTTTATCATCTTTGTAATTGCTTAACTTCATCAAAGGTATATAGGTCACTACAGAATATGGAAAAGAAAATCACACTATTTGAATATCTGGTCTACAAGAGAATGATTAGAATATCATAGAAAGATATGAAAACTAACAGAAAATACTGCATATTGCAGGGCTTAAACAAGTTATCCTGATATAAATGGTTATGAAAAAGAAAGGCAAAATATTTTGGCCATTAAAATATGTCATAGGCTCTTAAAGGATTTCTTAGATGGAAAAGTAGAAGGTCCCAGATCAAGAGGGACACCAGGAACTAAATTGTAGTGAGCTTGTGAGGCATTGATACATATGGAGTGGAATGAAAATGCAAGAGTGCACTAGGAAGGCTGAAAACAAAGATTTTTGAAGAAGAAAATGTTGCAATCGGGCTCTAAGCTTGGAGATGGTACCTTTATAAACAGAGAAAGGGTTGCAGTGATATTAACAGAGAGCTTGTCTAACCATACAACTGTATTCAAAAGCAGGTTTGAGTGTGATCAAATTATTCAACTATATATATCAACGTAATCATTTAGAAACCAATAGATAAATTGATGATATCAATTTGGAGGCCAAGGTTGTGAAACAGAGATATATATTTGGCTTCTTTTAACTCATGATATTAAAGATGAAAAGGTATTAGCAGGATGTCATGCTTGGGTGAGAGGAGAAGAGGACGGCCTGATAAGTGCGACCAAAGTAACAGACAAGTCACTGAGAGAGAGATTTGCCTACTTGACAGGATCCCCCCCCCCCCCCATCGGTCAATTTCTTTTATGAGACAAATCCAAGCAAATGTATTATGAAGGACCGAATTCGTGTACCTTTCGCCCGACAAAGTCCGGCCCGAGAATTATTTTAAAAGGGGGTTAATTTGACTTTGCACCCGGAGATTTCTTTAAAAAGGGGTGTTTTTTTTTTTCTTCTCTCTCTTCGGATTCCTGAGAAATTAAAGAGGGGTTTATAAAATAATTAAAAGGGGGTGTCAGTTTTCTCTCTCTCTCTCTCTCTCTAAACTCCTGAGAAATTTAAAAAGGGGGTTGTATAATATCTTGAATTATCATAGATATGGGGGAACATTGAGCAGTGTTCCGGATTTAGGGGATCTCCAAGGCAGGAAAAGCCTGCGAAAGGGGGTACAGACATGTTGGCAGTCCTGAGATAGGGGTGCTTTCAAAGGATACGCGTATCCTAAATAACAATGGAGGGGGCGGTGACAGGACAGAGTAGCCTGGAAAGGGTTTGTCCATGAGGTTACCAGGAGTCTGGGACGTCTCACTTATCACCTAACAACAACATTAATTGATGATATTCTTCTTTCTTTCATTTTTTATCTCTACTGTACAGATAGCACTTCCTATGTCAAAGGCAGTACTGGAACAGGAACTAGTGTATGCCATTTCATGACATCCAACAAAATAATCAATCCGTAAAGCGCCCGTCGACCACCTTCTACTCATCTACTCTCAACGTTTTCTATGTAACGTAATTTTGAACTATACGAATTTCGCGCTGTCTGTATCACATAAAAAGTAGCTTTAAATAACAAACTGATAAAGATAAAGCTTTCTTCGCCTGCGTAAAATTGATAGAACAGTTACTTCCCAACCCAACTGGATATTTCTCAAAGTGTGGAGCATCTAAGGTAACATGAAGGCGTTTTCATTGATGTTTTCTCGTTGCCTTCTTTGAAATGATTAGTTGTGACTTCATATACTCAGATATTTACGAATCCAGTCACTATTAAACCACTCACACTCGAAATACAGTGGTGCCTGGGGACCTGACCAACTCTTTTGAAATCTTAGTGAAAATTCTGAAGAAGAAAAAATATGTTGGGGTCTTCTATACAAAACTGTAATAATAAATATAAAACCTGTTAAAACTCGCTAATCATGACTTGTATTGGGAAACGTGTGGCTGCGATCGCTGGACGAAGCGGAGATCGTACGAAGCAAGACGATGTCGATCTCAAAGACAGTGCCGCCAAAGTGAAGGTCACCTGCAAGGCATTGTGGGAAGATCCGATGTATTTCCGCTGGGTCACTACATTCATCTGGGCTCTAGTCGGCGCTTTCAACTTTGGTATCATCGGGGATTTTACCTTGTTCTTTATCTACCTCGAAGAGGATCTCAAATCTTCAGTACTGGAATTAAGTAAGGATAATTGTTAGAATTATTTTTGAATAAACAGTCTTTTCAATCGTTCATAATTTGTCTTGATAATCATAGCTGTGAATGTCATTTCTATTATTAATTTCTATCTGCATAAAGAAAAACGATGTGATCTGCAATAATCATTTTACAGTTTACAGCAGGGCAACGTACGTACGCAATAGCGGTCGAATCCATGCGATACGTCACAACGGGTCGTGCGCAAACAAGACGAAGGATTACGATGTTTTATATTTTTCAAAGAATGTTTTAAATGGCCTACAAACTGAAATTAACATGTAGTTTGAGGTCGATTCCCCTTTAATGATCTTATTTCAAAATACCATCAACATAAGACCGTGAGTATAAGATCGAAAGAAGACCGTTTTAAGACATTTCGCTGGAATTTAAGACATTGGCAAGATCATTAAATGTTTAAGCCATTTTGTCCGGCCTGTTCATAATCATATTTCGCTGACATCACGCCTGGTGGAAAAACATAATTAGTACTAGGTGTACAAGTCTGCACACAGCAAACCCGTAGTCCCGTCAAGAAATACCCCCTAGTCTCAAGAAGAGTCTTGGGGTGGGGAAAGGAAGATAATAATTTTACCATACGTGAGAATGGTCGGAAAATGCAGAGCAATTACCTGGGCCTTGTGGTCATAAAGCTGAAGGCTTATCCTGGTGAATTACAACCCCTGTTTTGGGGGTAAACATCCTAATTATGTCGAATTCCCTATGAGAGCCTGTAGTCATTAATGTGCGTCTTTAACAATCTTGTCGTTTTCACTAATTCCCAGATTGGCTAGGTACCCTTCCATGGATCCTCTTCACCGTGTTTGCACCCCTCACCACACCCCTGGTCAAAGTGCTTGGTTACCGATCGACGCTCGTAGGATCGAACCTCGCTTGCGCCCTTGGGCTGTTTGCTACCAGCTTCCCGCACCAGATTTGGCCTATGTATATCACGTATAGTTTGGTGTACGGTGGAGGCGCGGTCATCTATTACGTAGCTGGATGCTTCTATATCACGGGCTATTTCGACCAGAAGTCCTGTACTGGACCGGTGTCTTCTATGGGATTCTTTTTCGAGCTAGGTAAGATGGAAAAGGGCGCCAGAAACCAGGGGCGGATCCGCGGTTATTCTTTGGCCGGCTGAGTCTGCGCAATTTTTTTTATCTAGGTTTGCCCCCCCCCCCCCCCTCTTGCTGCCGGCTGATCCGCCCCCGATCCCAGGATATAACATTTATTTGCCCTTGATACACTAAAGAGGTTGAGATTGGGGGGGGGGGGGGTATGCGGACACTTTTTTTTTTTTTTGGTCTCGAAATTTGAAAATTTGACATTTTTCTTCGTTAGGTGGGGGGGGGGGGGTAAGGTCACCTTTTTTAGGTTAGCCGTGGGCATATATTTTTTATTTTTTATAACCCCCAAACCCCCCCCCCCCCCTGCGTACGCCCCTGCATGTGCCAAAGATGTATTGCTATATACTACATCCAAGATGTCTACCAAAACTCTCGATTCGTTGGTGAAATATCAAGAGAAAAGAACAAAGATTAGAATACATATTTTGAAATAAATTAAAATATAAGGAAGGAATAAGTAGAGAAAAAAAAATAAAAATCACAGCGCGTCCTTGAATTTCGTGTTTTCACGAAGTGACGGTTATGTTTACAGCTCATTCCCCCCCCCCCAAAAAAAAAAATATATAAAAACATAGAACTAAACAAATATATATATGTTCTATCCCAGGCAGGCGCCGGTAGAATCGGTCCGTCCACCCCCCCCCCCCCCCTAGCCCCCAAAACGGTAAAAATACAGGATAGTAACGTAAATCTTACCTTTTTTAAACAAAAAAACAAAAGCGTCCCCCCTGATCATCCGCTCTGACCCCCTCCCCAAAAAATATTTTTTAAAAATTATTTAAAAAAATATATATATTTTCAAAATGTTGCCCCCCCCCCAAAAAAAAAAATAAATAAAAAATGAGTGGTCCTCCTCTCCAGCACCCCCCCCCCCACACCCTCTTGCTGCCGGCTGGATCCGCCCCTGCCAGAAACCGTTAATGACGGTATGGCTTCGTTCAGATTTTAAGATTATGATGAGTACCCGGTTGCTCTTGATTTTATTTCTTGAACGTTTTTGCGATAATATTCTAAAAGCATACATACAAAATTAAATACATAAACGTAAATTAACTACTCGATTACGATTTTTTTTAACAGCTGTACTAGTGTTCAGTCCTGTGATTCAAGTCACGGCCGATGCTTGGGGATGGCGTTGGTCGCTCCGCCTCCTCTCTGCATGTACACTCGTCGTGTCCGGACTACTCATCATATTCATCAGGTAACTTTACATTCTCGCCATATTCTTTTACTTTCGATACTTTAACTTTACTTTATTAAATCATAATTGAAAATTTGTTTTGTTTATACATGCGCGATACAAATTTATACAGACGTGACAGAGTGATAAGATACGGTATAATGTAACAAATACATGTCGCTAACAAGGGTATGGGATGGTTCTAGCGCGAGTCCACACATTGAGGGGGCCCGTAAAACGGAGGGGGCGGTTACCAGTCTTGGAAAATGAAATGTAAGTTCATAAGGCAATTGATTAGGGGGTGCTGAATATGGTCCATGCATCTTCTTTGTTGGTTCTACCCCCCCCCCCTTTCCCTTTCTTTTTTCGATTTTTCTTTCCTTTTCCTTGTTTCATCACTCGAATGGAGGGGAGAGCGCGTGCCCCAGGTATCTAAGCCACTGCTTGTACAATATCTAACGATCCGTCTCAATGCGGAAAAAGTTGACAAGAGCGAAATGGAGCGGAGAAGCTGATTTTTTGTTGTTGACAGGTTTGACTGGATAATTGTCTCCTTCAAGGAAAAAAAATTGTGTAGCAGAACCTGTCTATGAAAACTACCTCTCTAAAACGACCGCTATTTTTACATATCTGGACCGACCTCGGGTAAATAGGTGTATAACCGGAATTCAACCTAATCATGGTTTCTTATCAATTCTATAATATGCTTTTTCCAGGAAACCGCCATTAGATCTTTCTGGGCGAATTGTCAGTCCCATTTCCGACGATGACGATCAAAGAGAAAGGTCAAGTAACGACCACGAATCATACTTGGAGTTGGCGACTACGAAGGCTGAAACCGGCAAAGTCAGCGTGACGACATCGCGAGGGAGGTACCTCAAGATAATGTCGATGCCATCCTTCTGGATCTTGGAGTTAACCGTAATCTTGTCTTTCACATCGTTGTCTTTCAGCCTCATTAATCTCGTAAGTATAGCATAAGACTCCTCCATAACACTCGAATCGAGATTTAACGGGATATTCTATAAGTATATGCTTGTGTAGCCGCGTAGCTACATAATTACGGAGGCACGCCCCCCCCCCCCCCCCATCAAATGGAGAAATGGAAAGAGAAGAGAAAGTGAGAGAAAGAAGAAGGAGAAAAAAAGGGGCAACATGAAAAGAAAATGATAAGACCCCAACCACACCCTCCCCTAAATACTCAGTGGTTCTTTGCTCTTGCATTAAATCTAGCTAGTAAATCCAGCGCCCCATGACACCAGTGCCCCTCGATAGAAAGGCCCATGCTTCGCCCCTGAGCTTGCATACAGTGTCGATTTGGAACGATTATCATAGTCATGATGGGTTTTTTTTATACTAAAGGTGTCGTGGTCTAGTGTATACGTCGCTTGACTATGAATCACAATGTTCGCGGTTCGAGTCTCGCAGTAGCACTAATGTACTTTGGCAACATACTATGCTACATTTGCCACTCTCCTCCAAGGTGTAGGAAATGGGCAACCTAGGTTCTCTACTATGATCCTGGAAAATAGAATATAAACGAAGGCGCAAAGACGTTCAAGAAATCAACGAGGACATTTTCGATACCATATTATATGTTATCATGTGATATTATCATGTTTGGATTTTGTAAAGAATCATTGTCACGTGACGCAGAAGTGTGCATTAAAATTCTCTAATGTTGATTTTTCTTTTCTTTTTTGGTTTAAGTCTTTGTGATCGTGTTTGAAATAACATAATTTTCCCTCTTTTCCGCTTTCTGTCTTTCCGTTTGAAATATAGGGCAGCTACCTCACATCTGTAGGCGTCTCTACTAGAGTGACGGTGATTTTACACTCATTTTTGGCTGGTGGAGGGGTGGTTGGCCGAGCGCTTGTGATGTTCTTTTCGCACAAGCTTCCCGTCCCCATTTCAAGCATCTTTCCAGTAATCTCTATTTTGAATTGTTTTCTAACTATTCTCATCTTAACCACGTCTAGTGTGCCGGTGCTCTACATTTATTCTACAAGTGAGTCCCTCGGAAGTTAAACAATGTATTCATCTATTCGTTTGTTTTATTGTCATTTCATTCTCTGCGAGTGAATGTGGGGCACGTGACCACTGTACCCCCCCCCCCCCTTTGATGAATGGCGGAAGGGGGGGGGGCTAACACGACCCCTTCCTCTCCTTCCACTCATTGCATGACTTTGTTTTCTCGTATTTCATCACATTTCCCAGTGACATTCAAATGATCACCCCCCCCCCCCCCACCCCCACTCAGTGTCATTTAGGGAACGCGTATTAAAGCATGATCCCTACCTTTGAAAGTACCCCCTTTCTCCCCCTATTGAAGGGCATTGACTCTCACACGACAGGTCCTGGGTTCAATCCTTGCTCGATGGAGACAGTGATAATTAACTCAAATTTACCCTTCTCTTGTCGTGTATATTAGGTACCTGACAGTCGTTGTGGAGGTAATAGCTGAAAAGCTCTCATCACGAAGAGCAGTTTTGGGAATGATGAGGCTACCTCAGGAAAAATCATATATTTTCTACTGAATTCCACAATCGGAAATAATCCCCCGAAATGTCAACCTAAGGCTCAGTCCAGTAACCTGTGTGCCACTGGACTCTCATACGAGAGGTCTCAGGTTCGATCCTCGACCGGTGCTTAAATCACTGGATAATAAAGTATTGGCAATAACGATTGCAGGGCCATCGGTGAAAGCTGGATGACATTGTGTCTTGATGCGGTTATCCTACATGTAAAATATCATTTTCTGTTATCAGTTATTAATGATCGTCTCCTAACTTTCTATAGCTGTTGATTTTCTCCGGGCTCTCTACCTATCCATGGCGACCGGACTAGCGGTTGAACTCTTTGGTATAGAGAACGCGGCTCCGGCATACGTGGGAATCTTCTTTGCGTATGGTTTCGCAGGTGTCCTGGCTGCCGTCCTACCAGGTTAGATATTATATATATATATATATATGTCACTTTACTGAGAAACTCTTTTCTCCCACTACACCCTTCAGAAAATGGTTCTAAAGGGTTCTTGCCGTTGCCTTTTCGATGTCATCGGCCAACTCAACCTAATAAGATAAATGTCAACTGGCACTCAGACCGTAATTACATGGCCCTGAAGCTAAAATATTGAGTGGCCTTAGGGGAACTTACCCGAACTCCTCATTGGTCAGTCCGCCCCATCTCTTGTTTCAAAGAGATAGAACTCATTTTTATAGTATGCAATCGGTCGAATCGCAGTTGTTTTCAGTTTGAAATTATGTCTCGACCTTTGTTTGTTTTTTTTCTGATTCTGACTTTTATATTGTGTTTACTGATTTCTTTCCCTTTTATCTAGGCTATATGAATTTCTATATTTCTTTTTTGTTCTTCTTCTTTTGTAATGTACTAATTGGAAACCGCAACAAAAAGATTTTGCTGATCATTCCATCCCACAAAAAAATAAAAATAAAGAACTAATGATAAAATTATTTTCATAAATGCTAAAATGGCAATATATATTTCTTTTGTTTACCTTTAAAGGTATCACGCACCAGCTAACGGGATCATACACCGTCACCGTGATTATTTGTGCAGTCTTCTGGGGTATTTCTTTCATTCTATTCGCCGTTGTCTACATCCTGTTTCGCCGCAGACAGCAGAGATCTTCCAAAGATGATTGTAAGAACAAGGTCCCGCGCAGTACGAAGACATCGACGAATTTAGAAGACAGTGAACAGCCGTTTTTATTAGAGATTGGTTCTTCTTCTTCTTCTTCTTCTTCTTCAAGATAATCTGCCTCCTTCAATACTGAAGATTCTTGCAGATGCCGTATACTCGGCCTGATTGGGGTGTGCAGGTGGACCATTACACCGGGGTTTCCCCCTTCTCTTATACGAATAGTGCAATGGGTTCTTAACGTGCAAGGGTGGTGACTCTCCTGTACACGGGGCCTCCATTTAACGTCCTATCCGAGGGACGGAGTGTTTTCCACTTGACATAACCTGCGTCTATGAACAAGGGAAGGGGCACGTTAACACACAACGCAGGTTCTGTCATACAGTCAGAATAAAAGTGTAATGATAAATGTTTTATGTTATTTGATGAAAGAATAGTTATATATATATATATATATATATATATATATATATATATATATATATATATATATAAATATATATACAATAACGGAATTTCAATAACGATAATTATGGTACAGCTTGTGTGGGTAATTTACTACTTACTACCTCACTGACATTACCTCTCTCTCTCTCTCTCTCTCGTTTTCTCCCCCCCCCCCCCCCCCCACCCTCCCCTCACTCTCTCTCTCTCTCTCTCTCTCTCTCTCCCTCCCCCTCTTCTTTTCTCTCTCTCTCTCTCTCTCTCTCTCTCTCTCTCCTCTCTCTCTCTCTCTCTCCCTCTCTTCATCTCTCTCTCCCTATGGAGATTACTCATGATGTTTAGAAGAGATGGATTTATATTTGGGGTATTTTTATTTAAGAAAATAATTATTAAAATAAATATTTGTTAAATTACTCTTTATAGGTCAATTCCCGGCCTGAACACACTCGACAACTTTATGCCTGGAGGAGTATTTGTTTAGTTTAAGTTGATAGGCATAATTATGCCTATACCGGGATTTCTGACTCTCTCTCTCTCTCTCTCTCTCTCTCTTTCTCTCTCTCTCTCTCTATCTTTCTCCCCTATCTGTATATCTGTGCCTTTCTTGCTATCTCATTCTCACTTCTACTCTCTTTTTGAATACTCTATTTGCTCTCTTTCTAACAAATACATGTAATTTAAATAGGATTATTCTGGAGTTTGTTGCGAGTATGATATTGTTATTTGTTAAGAAGTATAAATAATTTCATTTTAAAACCTGATGTTATGTTTTCTTTTCTGTCATTGTTATTGTACATGAGCTGCATCCGGTGCAATTTAAATCACTGTCCTGGGTTTTATGTCATATCTTTATTGTTATGTTTATAAGTATTATCATGAATAGAGATGAATAAACATTTGTATATCTTAATCAATATATAGTCTATGATATATAACATATAAAACGAGTACAAGGATATTATACATTAATGCGCTTCCCATGCAAGATAAAGCGTTTGTATGCCACTTCAAGTTTGTCAAAGATTTGTATAATATTTTGCAATAAACATATTTTTTACAGTATGAATTATAGAGGTTTTTATACACTATTAATATGCGTATGCAGTATTGTGTGGTGCATTGTCTGGAGTTGTTTCCATTTAGTCAAATAATGATAGGATTATCATTTTTTGTTGTTATCAGTTTATGTGAATAATGGAATAAGAAAACTCATTTGTCAGCCTTCATACAGTATCTCTCTCTCTCTCTCTCTTTCTCTTTTTCCCCTTTTTTCTCTTTTTTCTTCTCTCTCTCTCATACTCTTGGAAGCTGTAGTGAGGCACAGCATATAGATCAATAGGAATAGATAAAGTAATAGGGAGATAGCAAGAGCACACATGCAGAGAGATAGAAATTTGCTAGATCTGGTGAGAGATACAGAGAGGGATAGAGAGAGCCAGACAGATAGAGAAGGGAGATAAACAGAGAATAGACGGGAGAGACAAGGACAGAAAAGGGGAGACAGGGACAGAGAATGGGAGACAGAGAAAGAGAGAGAGAGAGGCAGAAGAGAGTTTAAAAGAGCGATAGACAGGACAGAGATAGATAAAAAGAATGAGAGGAAGAGAGAGAAAGAGACAGAACGGGAGCGAGAGACAGAGAAGTAGATTTACAACATAATCAACTGTCTACAATGTTTTCTTGCTCGCTATTCAAAATTTGATATTTGGGCGATCCGCTATTGTCCATGTACATGTAAATCACATACTAATCAGGAATATTGAAAGTATTACAATTATCTGTTAAAAATCATCATTTATTGCACAATAATTGGAGACAAAATTTATAAAAAATAGATTCATTACAGAGTTACAGCATTGGATGAGAAAAATATACTTGTACAGTCACCTGCATTACTGCAGAGCCTTTGCCAAGAGGCCAACACAAGCTCCCATCACTTTGTTAGGAATGTATTCTATTCAACTTGGAGGGTTATCTAAAGACATATAACTTACTGAGGGCACCCCCCCCCCCCCCCTCCCCCCTCCACACTCCTGTTAAACTGTGTACTATCTTCATGCAGTCTTATACCTTGTTTACAGAAGGCTGGCAGATTTCGGGATAATTTTTTCACAGTCAAGATCCTACACGTACCAACTGAAATCCTAAATTCAACCCTGGACTATAAAACATTATAGCTTACACTAACCATTTTACCTCTCTCAAAAGGCCAAGACCCAATTAAAACCATACCCTAAAAGTTTGCTTTCAGGGAATAAAGCCTGGAGCAAACGTCGGACCACCTGCTAGAAGGGTGCTTCGTAGCATTATACATTTATCATTAAGTTTGCACTGTGGTATTTATGAACAACATCATGATCATACAGTGTACTGTACATGTATTTCTTACTTCCATATTTGCATAATTCAGTTGTTCAATTGATGATATTATAGAACAATAAAAAACTGTGAGAACATGATATTATTATGTCAAGTGGGATATCAACTATCAAAATATGAAGACCAATAAAGGTAGTGTCATTTATACAAAAGTCAGAACAAAATATGAAAATATCATGCGTACACTGTAGTATAGTGACTGTCAAAATAGAAAATATTCAGCAGGACTTATTTACATGTTTGTTATAGTTTTAATGATCCAAAGCCTCATTTTGATTCAGTACTCCTTCTGTATACTGTATATTTGTATAACATAAAATTGATTTCATGTTACTATCAACTGTACAGCTTTGGCTAAATAATAGGGACTTTTAGATTTGCGTGGACTGATACGTGTGGCGTCCATTCAAGGCAGTGCATTAAAAGGACGTCGATAGTAGCAATCCAAGTTGTCTTCGTGCAAATCTAAAAGTCCCTATTATAAACAAGCACAGAACTACCACAGTCTATGTAAAACATACAGTGTACAGGAACCATAATATGCATAACAATAAACAGTCACAGCTTTTGATCCATTGCAAATAACATGTTGAATTGGGGGGGGGGGGGGAGGATAGAGTCGGTGGCAACTCTTAATGCTACAGGGCCCTACACTCGTAGGTCACTGAGGCACCGGTTTCACGAAGCTGTAATAAGAACGAACTCTCCGATATCCCTTTGACACGCATCTTTATGACAATACATGTGTTTCAATATGATGTCGGTCAATTTAGACTCGCAACCGTTTCGTGAAACAATGCCCAGTAACAATAGCAGTGCATTCCTACATTTTCTTTTCCTCATCTTTAGCAACTAAATTCTTAACACCCTTACAACAAGCTCAACTGCAAGGCTCTTGACTCCATCAAGGGGTCATTGTTCTATTTGTCACACCAAAGGCAACTACCATGTGAAAGCTAACCATAACTTTATTGGTGGTTGGAGGCTGGAGCTCAAATGGCATTAACTCAAAAAACTTTCACACAAAAATGCCATTCTGGCTCTGAACAGACGATATCATTTATTTCTGGGACGTCAACTAAAATGAAACATCTCCAAACTGTACCTTCATCTCTTCTGCATTCTTAAACACATCACAACAAACCCTCTGCAGGCTCTGTATTCTGACAGCTGGTAATTGTTCCATATGTCACACCAAAGGCAGCTACTATGCAGAGGCTGACCATAAATATATCATTGCTTTCTAGAAGGTCAGGTAAAGTAATATATCACCATTCATTTTTGTTCTCCACCCTTTCTTGAGGACCTAAACTCTAACTCCATCACGATAAGCCTGATTGCAAGGCTCTGTACTCTGTGAGATGATCATTATTCCATTCATCGTACCATCTGCAGCTCCCATGCTCGTACTCGTCACAGCTCACCCTTGGCTGGTCCGATGCTCTGGCTGGCAGGTCTGGCTCAGGCGCCCTCTTACCCAGGTAAGAGAAGCTCTTGTAGTAATACCTGAAATAATAATAATAATATTGGATATTTATATAGCGCACATATCCACCATGCATGGTGCTCGAGGCACTTTAACTATTACCCTAGGCCCCAGCTCTGCTAGGCAGCCAATTTTGCCGCTTAAAGCATTCAAGGAACTCCTTCCTATCGGTACCCATTTAACACCTGGGTGGAGAGTGGCAAATGTAGATTAATATCTTGCCAAAGGACAATAGTGCCGTGGCGGGACTCGAACCGCGGACATTGTGATCCACAGTCCGACGACTTATCCACCAGACCACAACACCTCTTTGTGAAAGAAATTTTTTAAAAACATTTACAGGTGACCCATGTGCAGTTAACCGAATGCAATTTTATGCAATAACAAATTGTACAATAGTGTAGGAAATTGCAGGATAAAAAATGATCTTCAATGATAGACACTTATATCCTGAATACAGAAAAGAGGTTTAAACCTCATATACATGTAAGTATACTACGCATGGGCCCTCAGCTTGGGGCTAATGGGGTCGCAATAATATGTTCATAATATGTGTAAATATAAGCTTATATGTGCTACATGTAGCCCATGGTGGAGGTCTGAAGTGTGATTTAGAAGAAGGGGTCTATTTAACCTTCTTTGTGAATTCATGACAATGATTCTGACCCTGTCTAAACGATGTCCAGGTAGGAAGAGATTATCAAATTGTCCTTAAAATTATGCACACCAATTATGCACATCCTGTTCTTCATTTTGTCAAGATATCATTGCAACAGCTCGCTCTGTTATGGGAGATTAAAATGAGAGTAAAAGCCAGAGTCTCAAAAAAATTACTACTACTACTACTAAAAACTTGAAATCAGACAAATATATGTCTGCAAAACACCACAAAAAATCCTACTTCTAGATTGTTTGACATTTTAAAATTTTGAAATTGGATAGAAAAAAAAAGGTTAACTGATCAACTCGACCAAATACACCTGTATTGGGCTCTAACTGAAAATCCCGCCACCATGAAAATCACACTGGCTCTTAACAGATTTGATATCATGCAGAAAAGTCTTGGAATCACTTTTCATTTGTCAAACTCACCATCTTTGAATAATGAACTTATGACCTGTCTTGACCTGCGCTGCTTCATGTATAGAGATGGGTTCGCATTCTCCACCACCGTTCATGTTGTTCCAAACGATTGCCCGACCTTTCCTTGGCGTCACGCTGATTCCCAACTCTGTGTCAGAAATAGATGGAGTGAAGTCAAACTTTCAAAACAACTTTTCAAACAATTCCCAGGTAAATTCAACTTTAGTTCAAGTGTCTCAGCTCCGTGTCACAAATAAATGCAAAGAAATTCAGGTTCAGTTCATCGATTGCATTTCAATTTTAAGAACAATTTTTTTTTTTTTCAAATGATTCCAAACTCTGGGTCATGAGCTGATGTAATGAAATTCGGGTTAAGTTGACAATTACAATTCAAGTTTTCTTTTGAAATGATTGTTTTAATATTCCAAATGAGAGTTATTTTGACATCACACAAAATCATTTTGTACATTTGTGCAACATGGTAAACAATGCTATTTCTGAGGGGGGGGGGGGTAGAGGAATAAAATGGTATCTGCCCTAACAAAGGTCACTAACCAGCATTTGTGTTATAAGATAAAAAAAATTTGAGGGGCACTACAATTGAGTCATTTTTTCTTGCCAGGGTTCTATTTGAAGTGGTTTAGTGTGTCATACAGGGCAGAGAAGGTCTACATTTTATCTTTAACCCCCCAAAATGATAAGGTATTATGTGATGATAGTGTTGGTATCAGTCTTTAGGCCTGTCCTTTTTTAAACTGTAGTAAGAAATTACTTAGAAATCAAAACAACACATACTTGGAGAGTCCTGAGAAAATAATGATGTCTCAAGACATTGCTTTCCAACAGGACTCCAGTTAGCACAAGGCTAATATAAGGAGCTGCATGATTTTCTCTCCCAAAATATATCAGTTTTTAGTTTTATTACTTCATTTTTTGTCTGTCTGAATGGAAGGGGGACACAGCCATTTCAGGGGGGTGTTTCATAAAGCTGTTCGAAAAGTTACGCATGACTTTACAAATGACTTAAATATGAAAAGCCAAATGGGGTGCTCAAATAATTTTTAACTGCATCAACTAAAGTTGAACTGTGCAGATATAGATTAACATCCTTATTTTATCAAACATTTTTAATGCAAAGGTTATTTTTTGCCATAATTTAATTGAGGTTATTGAAAATATAGTCACACTTTGTTAAAATATCAGGAAAAACTTTGGGCATCCTATCTGGCACTTCATATTCACCCCCCCCCCCCAGGTCCCCCGCCCTCATGGATCCTCCCATGTATTGCCCTATAGTACTTGCCTGGGAACTTTGTCTCTCCTCCCTCTTCCACATCCTGTAGATAGACCAGGATGGTAGCATACCTGTCTCGTTTGTCATGGTTGCCGAGGGTGCAGTCCGTGTGGGTCTTGTATCCTGGTTATCAATGGGACAGGAGAGTTTATGATAATGATGTCACCAATATTTGCTTCTTGTATCTTCCACACAATGTGCTCAAGATGCTCTTACATGTATATTGATTGTACAGCAAATGCCCTGATGTACACTAACCATAGTAAATGAATTCCCAAATTCAACCCTGGAACAAACACTATACCTAACCCTAACTTTAGTTATTAACCTAACCTTAAACCAACATATAACTCTCACCCTACGTACCTTTGATGAAATAAGGCCTGGAGCAATTGTCACCGCAAAAAATGTTTGATTACTCTCATATTACCCAGATTTAGATACCTTCCTGCCAGGAACCGATTGACTACACCTTGAGGGAGATCAATATACACTTAACAACTTAATTATTCACATCCCTTGTACATTTGATATATGTGTGATATTTGTTACTCAAGAATGAAAGGTGGACTGGTTGAAATAGGGCCTTTGTTGAATACTTTTAGATGTAAGCTTTAACATGTCACGTTCTCAAGTAACATTGATTGGAACAAATCAATTTTCTATATACTTTTTAAAAAATTACAAAAAATTGCAAGAATATGAATAATTTAGTTATTAAGTGCATACATGTACAGTGTATGTTGATTGCATTTCTGCCAATTAGTCAAATACATTAGTGCCACAAAAGGTATCAAAATAATTCCTCTATGAAACAAGCATTTTTGGTCATTTCTTTTTACGCTTTAACAATCCTTTATAACATTAAACAAAAACTTTGGAGGCTCGAAAGGGCTTCAAGAAATAAGAGCATCTACACTCACCTATTCCTTCCAGGTAGGAAGTGATTTGGAATTTGCCGCCGTTGGATTGTTTGAGCCCTGTTGCTTTAAAGACCCTGTCCTCAAAGATGGTTGAGAATTTACTCTCTGCCGGGTAGAAGGATGTACTGTGAGACCATGTAAGGGATGACCCAAGCTCCTCAGAGAAACTGGAATTAATGCATGTCGTTCCTGGAGACAATAATCCAATGAAACAAAACATACAATTTGTAATCAATATTCAAGGAAAAGCTTTGACTGTTCCTATGCTCAACTTAAAGGGCAGGATTATTATCCTCCTAATTGTCACATTCTTTCAATACAACATTCACAATAATATTGTCAATAAATTTTTGATTATTCAATCAGATACATGTATGTCTATACGAGTTGATAAAATATTGCACAAATACATTATCCATCACTATGAATATGACTGACAAAGAAAGCGGACAAAATATACAGTTCCTCAGGTAGACAAAGGAACATCCCTTCACTGCTATTATGTAAAAATGTGTAGAACAGGTGCCACATGCATATTCACCTGTTCTACACATTTTTACATAATAGCAGTGAAGGGATGTTCCTTTGTCTACCTGAGGAACTGTATACTTCGTCCGCTTTCTTTGTCAGTCATATTCATAGTGCATATTAGGCTACACAGCTCCAAAACATCTTTTTCTGTTAACTTTAATCCGTGCTTATCATACAGCTTCTTTTTGCTACCTCAGAGACGACAGGATCGCAATGCCTTCCTTTTTTCTTCCCTCCCCCATCACTGATGATGAGAACAGTAAGTTCAACTCAATATAATTTATCTACAGGCATGGGTCTACTTCAGGACCTCCTGCTGCAATACATCATGTAACATTTTTTTTTCCAAAGAAATTTTGTATTCAAGCATTCTTGAGCAAGAACAAAACAATAGATTTGAGCAAAGTACATGTTGTGATATATCGGTAAAACAGACATTGTTACATCAGTTGCACATGTCTCCATTGATCAAGTAATACAACAAATTTATTGTGTTTGATAGAAAGAACCCGATCAACTTTATAACAACGGTTTATCCCATCAACTGAAATTACAACAAAAAATGATCAAGAAAAACAAGACGAAGATTAATTTATGTTACTTTTTTCATGAATATCAAAACAAAAATGATTTCATTTAGCCTTACAAGCTGGAGTCTTGGTATGTAAATGTAATATACCTTGTGTGAAGTCACTGGTTGACACACTAACATCCTTTATCCCGGCATCCCGGAGGTGTCTTCTAAACGTACTCAGGCTGTCAAAGCAAATAATTGGATGCTGGGCATTTGTCTCTGTGAGATGACGCTGGTGAACCCTCCTAAGGCCAGCGCACTCTCTCTCTGTCAAAAGGCCCTCGAACATGTAAATCCTTCAAGTGAGAAAATTTAAAGAGAAAGACTACTAAATATAAAGGGGGTGATAATTAAGATAATTAATTATTTTGTTAATAAATCATGAAAAGACAGAAGGGTTAAAAGTAAGGCTACACAGATGTGTATAATTAAAGAGAAGTAGTCATTTTAAGTAGAACAAAAATAGTTGGTTATATAAGTTAAATCTGATTGATTGCCATATATATCAACGCTGTTTTACAACAACAACAAAAAAACAATGAGTGAAAGTGAGTGAAACCACCAAGGATTACTGAAACCAAATTTTCTCTATAATTTGGAATTTTGGATACGACAAAAGTTGCAATATAGGTTTTACCCCTTCAATAGTATTTAACTCCTTTTTTTATCTCCATTTGTCCCTTATTATCATCTTCTTCTTCTAGCCTAGCTACGCCTAGCCTCTTTACTCCTCCTTTTTGCCCTGTCCCTTTTTCGTTACTTTGCTTATTTTCACCTTTCGTTCTTTTTACTTTACTCCTCTCTTTCTTCTTCTTCTTCTCTTCCTCCTCCTCCTTCACTTATTCTTTTGAAAGAATGTGCCAGATAAAACTTACAAACATACTTGACATAGGGTCTAATAGATATAAACAATTGTCAACAAATAAAAGTCAGGCCTTACTTCACTGGAGATGATGGGTGATCTTTCGTGAGTTCAACTGGACTGACAATGTTTTCATCCACTATTATCTCCTGTATTGCAAGTGAATCCAATATAGTTGGCTTAAAATCCTCCATTTCTGATGTCTTTGCTTTATTGTTCGTCGTTTGCGATGGTCTCTGTTTTTCTTTGTCTTTGGTACTTCTGTCATTTCTGCGCTTGTCTCCATGACCGTGTATTATTGATTCCTTTGATGCAGATTTGTTTATTTTTGTTGTGTTAGTTACATTATTTGTTGACAAATCAAAAGATGGAGGATACATTATGAGCCCGAAGACACCAAGCAGTACCGGTAAAAACAAAATAGCCACAGCCCTCAGGAACTTATTGTCCGCAATACTTCTTCGAACCTTCGCCTGCCCTGCCCCGCTGACGTTCCTGCCACCGACCGCTGATGTGCCTTCGCCCCTGACGGGTCTCTGTGTTCGCTTATTAAGACGTTTTGTAGGCTTCCCCATGGTGGAAACGGACGATTTCTTCTGAGAAATAAGTATTTGATGAGTTTGTACTCGATTACTCAGTACTTTCGTTCAAGATTTACATAAAAAATGACTTTCGTTGACAAGAAAACAAATCTTTCAGACTACATTTTGTCCTCGCCCCTTTTCGATATGGTATCTTCTAAAATCATTTTGTTGACAGAAAAAGAAAAATCGAACTGCAGCAGCCGCAACCAGTCAACATTTTACTATGTACTTTAATCATACCTTATCGTATTGATGAATAAGAAAATTCAAAAGAAAACGTTTTCTCTCAATAAAAACAAAATGTTTTGGATTATCTTTGATAGGTAGGTATGATTGCGCTAAAGTGTCGGTACAGATCACTACGGACTGAAACATATAAATTATCATATTTCAAAGATATTTGGGAGTCAGTCCAAAAGGTGTCATTTACAAATGAAAAGGATTTGTTAATCTGGCATAATTTGTGCCCCAAGTCTCCAGGAGAATCCCAGATCTGTCACCGGTATCCGTACCCAGCTTTTTCATGATTTAACTGAAAAAAATTACTCTATATTTATAGGGCATCCACACGAAAACATAAAAAATCAAGTGTGATGCTGGTGTGAGGAAATAAAATTTTTAGGGGGGAAATGGAAATTTATATTTTCAATATAAAGACAAATCAGTGGGGCAATGAAGTCACAGACTCATGAGTGAGTTGCTAATTTGTCTTATGATTTTCAAAGTCTCATAACAAATTTAATACTTTCTTATCCGATTTTGCTCAAACTTTGTTTTGATTAGTTTTTCTGATTTTTCTGCTTTTTTAAAAAGTTATTTTTGAGGTGGACTTGCCCTTTAATTTGTCGCCGATCGATGCTCCCTCACTTTTCATGCAGTTAGAAATATCTGAGCCCCCCCCCCCCCCCCTCCGCTGCCAATACAATTTCCACGAGGGGCTACACCCAGTGGCGGATCCGACTCATGAGTGAGTTGCCGATTTGTATCGTGATTTTCAGAGTCTCATACAAAAATCATAACTTTCTTATCTGCTTTTGATCAAACTTTTTTTTGATTAGTTTGTATGATTTTTCTGCTTCTATTGAAAGTTATTTTTGGAGTGCCCCCCCCCCCCCCCCACTGAGCGAACTGGCTGTTTCGCTGCTAAATATTTTCTCACGAATTGGGCCCCATCCCCTGCCGTCGGCTGGATCCGCCCCTGGCTACACTTACCACAAGTACCCATCCCCCTATCTGCCTTCTTATCCTTTTCCCGTTATGATGCCTTCTGCCCGCCGTCTCGAACTGATCATGGACAGAGGCAATAAGTGGGGGGGGGGGGGGAGGGGATAGGCCTATAAGCCAAGACCCAATGTCGCGTTGTAACGATGGAGAACAGAGGATGCGGTGTAGGCCTACATTATTATGCCCTTCCAGCTCTCTATTTTTTATAATTAATTTTCATCTAACATCCTGGTTATATGTTGTATGAAATGAATAATGATTAGATTATAAAGTGGCGTATCGCGCGTCCAACCTCTGAGGGCATCGAAACTTTAAGTTCCCGGTTCTTGAATAACAGCCAACGGGCCATTTGCGGTCCTTGAGATGACTTAATACGGTCTGCCAGAAACATCGATTAAAATATATGAATAAATAAACAAATTTTCATTATAATGCTGTAATAAGTATGGATATTCTTGATGCCCTACAAATTACCGACATGGGAGTATGTGAAAGGGGGTCATTTTATCTGTATTAACATGGCCTTCCACCCAAAGCAATATGAAAAGAAGATGATATATTTTTCCTTCTCTTTCTCTTCTATTTGCCCTCCTGTAGATATACCATTGATAATTACGATGCAACTAGTTAACAAGGAATTAAGCACTAGAAAAAAAAATTGGCAAGTATAATTATAGCATTATCTGATGAGAGAAATTGCACCTCGAAATACAATGTGTGTGTTTCAAACACAATCATATACGCGCACACGCACCACTCGCACTTACACACACACCCCACTTATACACACACCCTACAGTACGGTATCGCCTTAATGTTTGTCCATGTAAAATGTAATACTGATTTAGTGTACAATATTATGTCAGAAGAGATATTAATATATCATTGTTTTAGCCTAGTAATTCTACACGTATGCCTACATCAATAATATTGATGAACAGTATCTGGTCCAGTTAATTTTCAAGCTTTGTTTTACAAGTTAAAAGATAAAGTTTGTCGAATAATACAAGTTTCATGTAATGCACCCATTATCCCACTCCAAAACAACGAGACTTCTGTAGTTTGATGTGATAAAATAGTGTTTGCTCCATTTATTCACTTCACATGCATGCAATCAAATTTCCGAGAAAACCATACTATTCCCTATTGGCTTGTCCCATGCCATCATCCCATTATTAAGATGACAATATCGTCACGACTATTTTCGAATGAAAGGGAAAACAGAACAAAAATTTATAATATGAGGCTTTGACAAAAGAAAAGTGCATCATACAAATAGCTATATTGACCATACATCGTGATGACAATAGACGACCTCAAGTGTCTATTTAGCTGTGCATGAAGGAACCCTTTGTGTGTATTGTGTCCTCAATGAAATGAAAGCATGCTATCTGGGCGGTATTCAATTTACATCACGCGACGTTAAACACACTTAAATAATATGAGAATATATCAGGACATAATTGTTATCAAGCGATTCTTTACATTATTACTTGAATGACAGTTTGCTCCCGCCTCAAGTGTCACAACTAAGATTTTGATATAATACATACTTTCCCTTCTTACTATATTTCTTCCTGTATTTCCTCATTCTGTATTTACAAAAATAAACAAAAATTACCAAGTTTAGAAAAGATTAGTTTCATGAATACCAGCACCGATAGATGTAACTTTATGGAAAGCCAGAAAAAATAATGATTATGGCATCAATACAACAGCAAAGGATTTAATTGAAATCAATACCAAAAGACAAAAAGGCATTAAAATCCTTTTTTGAACAACATCAACAATTTTCGTTAAACTCCAAACTATATTTCTGCCAATAATTCATGTTGAATGAGCAATATTTTATTGATTAAGTATCGTGATTGAAAGAATTAATCCTTGATAAAATGGGGAAAAGGGAAAGCAGATTTCAAAACTTGATATGATTTTAAAATACGAACGGATAAAAAGCATTAGAAGATCATGGTTTCAAACGCAACTGAGAAACATACATGCATTGGATGAAAAGCATATTTAGAATTCGATAAAACAAAATATTTTTGGAACTTATAAAACTCATGATTTCATTTGAGTTTTCGGCCTCGTCAATTATTGTCGGTGATTGGGCCGGCCCCTCTTACCCCGGCTCTCACCTCTTCGGGTAAAATTGCGTCACCTGTCTTTTACTTGGCCCACACTTTAATAATATGATTTCATACTTGACAAAATATTTGCCACGGAGCATGTTAAAAAAGATCAAATTGATTCTCTTTCAACATTATAGATATTATATATTATTGGTAGATAGCAGCATTAATAATAGCAGGATGGGTAGTAGTGCAAGAATTTTTTGTTTGAATGTGCTTTATATAACCTGTGTCTTAAATGGTGACGTTTAAAGAAAAAAAAAGAAATGTAGGTATAAAGTTGATGTTTCTTCTATAAACATGCTCAATGTTACGACTTTGATAAGAGTGAACAAAATTGGTATACACATTATTCAATTACAATGTAAAAATAGCGCGATGGTGTCACTTCACATTCAAAGGTGTAGCACATATTCCACAAAATAATTATGACCCCTTTCTGCGTGAAAATATTCAAGGTTATCGTATATACAATGTAAAAAGTACACTGTCTTCGCAAAACTTTGCACATACACATTCAGATATTTGCGAGCAGCATGATGACCATTTTCTCGCTTTTTCAAAAAGCATACCTTTTTTTCCTTCAAATCCATAAACAAAATGACCAAAGAACACACATTTTCTTCATCAAATCCGCGAACATTCCCTCTATTTACACAAAGTTATGGAATAAATTAAATATAAAGTGACGTAGGTCTTGGAGAGCTATTGACTCATTTCTACATTTCCACCCCTTAACTCATACTTTAAGGAACAAAATACAAGACAACATAACAAAGAAACCTTAATATTAAGTGCTATATACATGTTCCTATTATTATCATTTTCATAATTATTATTATTATTATTAGGTTTTTATTATTAACAATATTATTATTATTGTTATTATTATCATGATCATTATTATTATTGAAATAGTTATACAGCCATTCAAGCCTCTTATATTACACATTTGTCTTGAAATTACGGGAGATTATGGTTTTTTTAAATGAAACATGACAGACAACACCCACTCGCTGGACTCTTTATTTCAACATTTTTAATCACAAAGATTTTCAACATGAGCCACTGCGTTTCATAATGATTATTATCAAAATATTCAATTAATCATTCCATGTTACCATTACCATGGTTAATAATAACAATAATAATAATAACAACAATAATAGTATTGGGTTCATGTCTGTATAGCGCTCATGTCTGCCATATACTTGACACTCCTGGCGCTCCCAATTATTACTCTGGCTTTAGCAAGGCTGCCATTATAATATGGCGCTCTAGCATTTCAAGGAATTAATTACTGCCAGCTACCCATTTACATCACCTGGGTTGAGTGTGGCAAATGTATAGATCAATGTAAATAGTTAGTGCAAAATACTTTAATATTGTACTAAAAGAGTAAAGAAAGGCTTTTGTTAGGTTACTTTAAACACGCGCGCGTCCCTTCGGTCATGGCCTTATCACCGTAACTCTTACCCTGATCCTAGCGAGCCTTGTGGTTCTAGGTTGGATATGCCAGTCGACCGACAACACACGAGACTGACGAAGTGAAACATTATACGTGACATTTCGGTATCACGGGCACTGGACCAGCGCAACGTAAGAAAACTACTCAAAATTACAGTTGCATACGATTTACATAATGCTTGTAAACATAGTTCATCTCGGAAAAATAACCCAGTACTTGGGCGAATATATACACTTTTCCACTCAGCTCGTGTCAAAATAATGACAAATGTATACATGTTGTTGGTTTTGCCAACATGCCATCCTGTCAGCTATACATTTAGTTCATGCGTCTGAAGAGCTTGCTGAATTTGGAGCAATAAAATCAGTACCTCGCTGGGCTTGTCTCCGAATCAGAGGTTGTACACGCAAGCCGGTCGATGAGCTTGAGTCCATCAGCTGGTTTGATCGTAGGGGGCATCGTAAGATGCTCCTGAAGGCCACCTTAAAGTCTGGATGACGTGTTCCGTAAATGAACGGATTTACGCAGGAGTTGAATAGAAAGACCATAGCAAGACCCGGGACCAGTCTCCAGCCTCCTGGTATGACCAACTGGACGCTGTACGGTGTTATCAAGAGGATAAACAGGATGATGATGATGAAGAGGTTCTTCGTGACAGACATCTGCCTCTTGCTGAAGGTGCTCTTCCGGGCAAGACCAGTCATCTGCCCGGAGACCGTAACGAGCTGGGAGGTTACCCGGGCCATGCGACGAGAATGGATACGAACATGGCGCCAAATACGGAAATAGCTGAAGAAGATGATAAAGAGTGGAACAGGGTAGAACGTTATGGCAAGTATCAAGTTGTAAGTTGGTGAGAAAGGATGCGTGGTGTTCCAGATGCACATGCTATAGCGATGGTTGAAGCCGAAAAAACTATCTGATTTCATGTACGGAACGATGGACGTTGTCACTGGTATTAACCAGAATATCAAGACGAGTCCACCAAGAGCTTTCGGGGTGAGGATCTCATGGTAGCGATGGTTTGGCAAGGTAATCAGGCAAGCCCGACTTAACGCAATCCCACCAAGTGTGTATAGACTGCAGCCGGTACTGACCATCAGGATCATCCCTTCCCACATGCAGATCCACTCTGACAAAGGCCACTCATTCTCACAGAGCAGCGCCAACGCCGTCCAAGGAAGATTCAGACAGCTTATCAAATCCGCAATGGCGAGATTGACGACAAATGTATTGGTTTTGTTTCGTAGTTTCTTGCTGATGAACACGGCTAAGATGACCAAGGTGTTCCCGAAGGCACCGGTGATAGAGATCAACCCTGTGATTGTAGCGTAGATGATTCGCTCCCAGTAATACTTGTAAACTATGGGTTCCTCCACATCAGTGCAGTTCCCTATGTCGCACATGATGATATCCTCCAGAAGAGATTCTCAGAAGATGTCACTCAATCTTTCAAAATACGATCGCAAAAGTTTGGCTCTCTCAAAATGGCTTTCACTTTTAATTAATGATATGTATGAATATTCAAATAGTTGGAAAGTGATTATCATTTTCAACTTGGATGGATGTACCACCCTGGAAGAATGTAAGCAGACAAAGTACCTTGGTGTTGTGATCCAGAACGACCTCCGATGGAATGGCCAAACTCACCTCGCAACAACAAAAGCTATAGGAGTATTGAGTTTTCTGAGACGCAACTTTCATCACTGCTCAACTTCCATAAAAGAGAAACTCTACCTCACCCTCGTTAGACCACACTTAGATTACGCAGTTGCTGCTTGGGACCCATACACAGCTAAGAACATTTCTTCTATCGAACGAGTCCAGAGGCAGGCAGCCCGTTTTGTCACAAGCACATATCAGAGAGATGCAAGCGTCACCCTCCTTCTAAATTCTCTTAAATGGAACTCTCTCCAAGACAGACGCGAAGCTCACCGTCTAAGCTGTTTCCACACAATCTTACATGGCCAGCTGGACATAGATGCCCAAACACACATTAAACCTAAACCAGGTCGTAGCAGACGCGGGCACTCAAGTCAGTTCGAAATACCATTAACCAGATTAGATGTATACAAAAACTCTTTTTTTCCACGCACAACCAGAGCATGGAATGATCTCGATTCGACATTAGTATCCCTGACTGACTCAGCAAAGTTTAAAGTAGCACTCCTTCCGAAATAAGTCCACCCTCTGCCACCACGACCTCCAGTTTAAATTCCACTAGGAATCTTTTGGAGGAACAACAACCAAGTACCAATGTGGTATGCATACATTATATCATGGCATTGTTCTCCTTGTACCTTGCTCAGACGTACCCCTTCTATAATCTAACATGGGGCCACTTTAAATGCTCACTTTGAGAGTATCCTTTCCAACATCACGCTTCAAGAAATGTTTTTCTCCACACAGCACACTATCTTCTTGAAAACTCCTCCACAATTACTCATTATTTTATTCGAAACACCACAACGCTGCGAGTTGACTCGAGACGACGTATCACCAGAGTGCAGAATGTTGTATCTTGAAACCGAAGTACTTATACGACGAGATCTTACGTTTCCAGAAATTGTGACCACATTAAACAGTTGAATGTCAGGTGTAAACTCAATCCATGAAAGAAAGTGCGGGAAAGAAGAGGAAACCTCGATTTGTTATGAGCACCTAACATCGTCTGATAGAAAAGTGTAATTAAGTTTTAATTGTTTTAATATGAGGCTCTATCGAAACAGCGTGTAGTATGATGGTAATTAGATGAGAACTGCGTTGTTGTTATAGTACAGAAGTAATAACACCGGAATCAGTTTAATGTACAAGAAAGCCTTCTATGACGTCATTTGGGAGTAGCTCATGATGGGAGGAACAATGGGTTGTGGCGCCCCTTTCTATATCAATAATGCTGTCCAAATTCGTATGGTAAGTCGTGGACGCCACGGTTCATGAACTTTCTCTTCTCTTCCGGACGTTTCAGCATAGGTACACGATGCCTGGAAAGAGAGAATGGTAAACCCATGATTTTTTTCAAAGAAATACAATTTCATTTGTAACCCAGATATTAAACGGAATGTGAAATGGATTGTACGTATAGTCTTTGTATATAAAATTATATCACGAACATAATTTATTTCAACCAATGGGCGGTAGGAAAGCGGGAAGATGTTCCCAATAAAGCGCCCCCTGTGTCAATCCCGCTCCCACCCCTCTCTAAAAAGCACATAATGTGCATTTATTCGTAGCCCTTACTTTTCAATGAAGAGAAAGTCTTGTTACTCCTTGTTTTTTGCATGAAGTATTTCATGTTCGGCTGATTATCAACGAAAGCCAATGTCAAATTCAAAGTCAATTTGTTAATTCCGTTTGTTGCTACGGCAGGCAGCTAGTGAAAACGAATTCGTTTAATAAAATAATGGAAATGCAAGCACTACTTTAAACAAACAGAATTTTGTTATTCCTAGCTCATTTTTCCTGACTGAGGTGTCATATGAAAGTGCAGAAACTCAACTTTCTAGAAATGTGATTTTTCTCTTTTAAATTCAGATACCGTCTGCCAAATGACTTTTTGGTTTACTCCCTTCAAAATTATTTTAATCACTCATGCGTGAAATATGCATGAGTTGCATCAAATGAAAGAAGAGGATCTAAGCTTTACAAATATGTGTCATTTATCAATTATTATTGTGATTAAGTTATGATAAAACATCGATAATTCTCGGTTTCGTTTTTTCTGGGACGCACTGTAGTACCAAATTATATTCGACCGTACAACTCAATTAATTAATTTTTACTAATGGGTCATTATTAATATTGTTATTATCTGTCAGTTCTAATTTATTTAATGACACCATTCTGTTTTCATCATCTACTGTCGCTATTCCAAAATACACGTATATGCTGGAATGAAAGTAGGCCGTATTTCATTGTCCGGCAACAAAATAATGTCCTTGTAATAATTCAGGTCAATACCTATATTCAATATATCGTGTGTTTTTTTAATTAATTGCGTTAGGGTATCTTTACAATATTGTTTAAGTTCACCCATTTTCATATTGCCTACGTTATAATCTAATTGTTTCGTTCACTTTTGACTCTAATCAAATGGTTTCAGAAAAGACACAGATGATTGGTATTATTAAAAGTGGACAACGCCTGTTCAATTTTTTTTAATAATTTTCTTACAATTACAGAAGACTTTGCTTTAAAAATGGGACTAGAAATTGATTTACTTAGAAATCAATTGCATATGTTTGCAATGAATAAACAAAAATGTTATATTTGGTGTTGTTAATTTTAATTAAGTTTAGTCTACCGATTTAGAAGGAAAAAATGAAATTAATAGACAGCCATTGGCTGATACCCTTCGAACATTTTACACCACAAACCTGATACCGTATTTGGTTCCGCTTGTCACAGATTCACCCCTCCCGTCCCCATCACCAGATAATCCAGCAGTCGCTTCCGATAAAGTTTCAGATATGTCAAGCTCAGTCCCCAATGACTCCTGCGTCAATTAGGTTGTCTATCTTATAAAACTATACTTACATTTGTTTTATGTCGAATTAATTATTTAAACAAATTAAATTACTATAGTATTATACTTCTCCCTGATACCATTCTAAGTTTCACAGCATCAGCAATCAATATCATATTCACGACTATTATTAGATTTCAAACGTTTGTTGTTATTTCTTAATTCATCGTAATTTGATATAGTAACTGTAATTGTATACGATTTTTATCATTTCTTTTTGTAAATTGATTTGTAAATTTATACCAGTCAAAACCAAATTTCCAAATTGACAATAAATATTTAATTTCAATTTCAAATTTAAAAAAAGAAGAAATCAGTTTCAATCTGTTTTTCTGGGAACTTGATTAACAAATGAACAGTGCTTAGATAAATGTTTATAAAACGTCATGAGGTACTTTCAATTTCAAGTAATCATCAATTTTACGATATAGGTTTGGTCTGCTTTTGGTCATTCAAACTTGCGAATGAACAACACGTCCATATCATATTTCTTTCGAGATAGTCATTCCATATTATGTGATTGATCTTTTGGCTCATTACATTTTTAAAAGCCCTAAAAAAATATTCCAGATGCATGAGTAAAAAGGGCAAACATTTCAACACACGATTCGCCCTGCATGATTTAATGGCATGAATTTTAAAATGACAAACAAACTTTAAAACCCATTAATTGGGAACACGTTGAGAGGTACAAAATAATAATAATAATAATAATAATAGTGGGTTCTTGTAAGCGCTCATGCCAGTCAGATTTGAACCTCCTGGGAAATGTTATCAACTTTTCGACAGAGTCCTTCTCATGTGTATTGTTTTGAGACCAATGATATTCATAAAACATCAACAACAACAAAAATTATTGTTAGTGATCGATTTAGCCCTTAAAACCCCTGTCCTAAAATGGAGTAATGTACAATAAACATTGGGATTGTACTATTATGTATGTTATTATTTTTGTAGATGAGTTCGCAAAGTGAATATTTTTATCTTGTGAAAACATGGAAAATGAGAATTTACTGGGAGATGCATCAAAATGAATTACACTTTAAAATGGCGTAAGTCTCCCCCATCTAATCACTTTGCTGATTGCAAACAACGAATTGGCCTTTGTTGATGTTGAATTTTTAAAGCGTGATAAAGGTGCTTTTGAATTATTATAAGGAAATTGGAATCAGAACCGCTGTTTCTAGTGCATGATGAAAGTATGCAATCAGAAACCATGGTTACATCAATAGAAATGCATCAGCCTAAAGTGCTTTTTGTTTCCATTTAATGGCGAACATGAATTGTCGGCTATATGAATGACATGGGGAATCGTGCATTAATTTTGATGAGTCTCATACGGATGAAATCGGGTGAACGAAATGACAAAAAAGCCATTAAAACTTGAATTATATATCAATTGAATATGACTAGACACGCTCCGATATCGATTTTTCGCACCATTCTCAACCTTAAAAAATATTGACATTAATTTTAGTTAAATTCTTCGAGATACAATAATTGAAAATGACAAGGCCTACCAGAATTGATGGTATTAGTGATTTTAGTTTTTAAAATTGATTGAACAGTTGCTACAAGGGAAATGTGACGAGTTCAGGGGCGGCGATCCCGGGGGGGGGGACACGTCCCCCCCCCCCCCTAATGTTGTTTTGCAACACACTTTTAGGCTCTGGAGGGCCCAATAGTGCAGCGTTTAGACAAATACAAATGCAAAAATCTTCTCACTCGGTAGCTACGCTCCCTCGCATCATATCCTGCAACCTTCACCCCTCTCGTTCACTATGCTCCCTCGCACTTGCGTACTTCGATATCAGTGATTTACAAATGGTGCTGAAATGGTATGATTTTTCCCTGAGCTTCCGGGGGCTCTGCCCCCTGGACCCCATCGAGGGCCCTAAGGCGGCCCCTGGATGCTCATCTAATCGTAATTTTAATGCCTAAAACCCCTGAGCTTCTTGGGCTCCGCACCCTGGACCCCACTCCAATTAGTGACCTATTGTGCCAGTGTCACAAATAAGGTATCAAAATATGCTCATTTTGACCGTAATTAAATGCCTAAAACCCCTCAGCTTCCGCGGGCTTCGCCCCCTGGATGGTCATCTGACCTTTATTAAATGCCTAAAACCCCTGAGCTTCACGGGGCTACCGGTCGGGGCTTTGACACTGGACCCTCACGTCAACTTACACTCCACTTGTTTTTATCGCTTTGTATGATCTACTCTAACATGATCATAAATACTTTAGCTCCCCCCCCCCCTCCCCCAACACTTTGAAAAAAAGGTTCCGCGAGGCCTGTATGTAACATGTAAGAGTGGTGGTGATGCGGATTTTTTTGCCCCGCTCCCAAACGTTTTTGCTCATTACGCCACTGCTCCCTTGTCCCTCATATTTCGTCCCTCCCCCCCCCCCGGTCAGAAAAAGAAATCGCCGCCCCTGGACGAGTTGCATGTAGTATGGCCAACATCATTCACTTGCTCCGATAATGATGTAGAAATGTTGTTTGCAGGGATAGAAATATGCATGTCCTTTCTTATAAATTTATTAGTAGGAACGATTACATGTTTAATAATTTACACTGGCAAGGTGCCATGGTTTCCCGTTAGGTTTACTGTATATACTGCGCACACAAAATCAACATCATTATTTAGTCATTTTGAAGTGAACAAAAAAAAATTACGAATGTCAACTTGTTGGCTTATATCGTTTAAGAAAGTTAAGAGAGAGAGTCGTCGTAGTAAACAAATCCATGATTAATTTACTCGGGAATTTACTGCACGAGACTAGAAAGCAGCTTCAAATATTCACACGATAGATGTCAACCAGACAAGATATTACAAATCCATGATCAGTTTATAAGTTTAGAAGCTCTGGAATTGTACATGTTTCTCCACTAGTACAATAGAGATCTAAACTAGGCAGAGTTTGACGCTGAAGTTATTATAAATTCATACTCACTTTATTATTGGAAGCTCTCGAACTGTAGAAGGTGGAAAGCATGCACCAAAATGTAATATTCGCAAGTTAGATGTTAACCAGAAAGGAACTGATGTCGAAGCTAGTGGAAATTCATGATCAAGTTTACGGTTGAAGCTCTAGCGATACGAGTTGAAAAGCAGGCTCTATCTAAGTATTCACAAGAGAAAAATGCTTGTCGTACACGGGTTGGAGTTGAACCCTCACCCACACCTCCTCAATGATGTTGTTGTCAAAGAAAATATACTCCCGGATAAGCAACGTGTGAACATATCCTATTTTGAGGTAAACGTGTGAACATGGTATATCTCTATATGTCACCATGACAACAACCGCGCAAGTTTTATTTGAGCCAATCAAATCGAAGGATATTTGTGGATATACTTGCCAGTAATTAAAAAGTGGTCTATATCATTTGTGCTAGAATACCAGCATGTCTTTATTATGTAAAGAGAAGTAGG